TGTCATCCATCTGTCATCCTCACTGACATCCATCTGTCATCCTCACTGACATCCATCTGTCATCCTCACTGTCATCCATCTGTCATCCTCACTGTCATCCATCTGTCATCCTCACTGTCATCCATCTGTCATCCTCACTGACATCCATCTGTCATCCTCACTGACATCCATCTGTCATCCTGACTGACATCCATCTGTCATCCTCACTGTCATCCATCTGTCATCCTCACTGTCATCCTCACTGTCATCCATCTGTCATCCTCACTGTCATCCATCTGTCATCCATCTGTCATCCTCACTGGCATCCATCTGTCATCCTCACTGTCATCCATCTGTCATCCTCACTGGCATCCATCTGTCATCCTCACTGTCATCCTCACTGTCATCCTCACTGGCATCCATCTGTCATCCTCACTGTCATCCTCACTGTCATCCTCACTGGCATCCATCTGTCATCCTCACTGTCATCCATCTGTCATCCATCTGTCATCCTCACTGGCATCCATCTGTCATCCTCACTGTCATCCATCTGTCATCCTCACTGGCATCCATCTGTCATCCTCACTGTCATCCTCACTGTCATCCTCACTGGCATCCATCTGTCATCCTCACTGGCATCCATCTGTCATCCTGACTGACATCCATCTGTCATCTTGATGCCGAATTGTTACTTTGTCTTATATAGGTTATCGACGAAGAGGGTTTAGTGCACACACTCGAACACTATATCTTGGATTGTAGTAAAATTGAGCCATTTAGAGATAAATATAAGCTCACTCTGTATGATATGGCAACCTATTGCATTACCATGGATACATTACCTGAAATCCTTGCACTGTATCCATATTTCGCTTCCAGTAGATAAACGACATATGAGATTAAGAAACAAGTAGTGTATTGTGAAGACTAAAATGAACAGAAGCTACCCTATGACTCTGTAATATCTCCATTGGTCAAACTATTATGTATTAGCGATAAGACCTACCATTAATGGATAATGACTTACTGTAAATATATAGCTCCAGAAATAGCACTCTCTCTGTAACTAGCTGACATTGTAACTATAAGGTGTGAAGGATAGATGAAATTGTTTATGTAATAATCTAAGATGAGGTCTGATAAAGATCTTGTGTGCCCTCTGTAATGCTTTTTGCGCTACCGCTCACAGGATGGGTATGGGGTGCACTAGCCGCTTGCGGCGCCGACAAAATCACAAGGGTTTAGAGTAAATGGGTAGAGATGAATGGTAGGGAAGGTAGTGAAGGGTAGGGAAGGTGATGAGGGGTAGGGAAGGTGGTGAAGGGTAGGGAAGGTGGTGAAGGGTAGGGAAGGTGGTGAAGGGTAGGGAAGGTAGTGAAGGGTAGGGAAGGTGGTGAAGGGTAGGGAAGGTGATGAAGGGCAGGGAAGGTGGTGAAGGGTACGGAAGGTGGTGAAGGGTAGGGAAGGTGGTGATGATAATGGGTGTAAACAAGATAGTGCCAGGAAGGCTGTATAGTGAAGATAGTTATAGGCAGGAGGATGGTCGTGTGTAGTGTAGATAGTCACAGTGATGTTGGGTGTGTGTTGATATATGGTTATAGTGAGGAATATATTGTGTAGTGCAGATGGTTATGGTCGTGCGTAGTGTAGTGTAGTGTAGTGTAGTGTAGTGTAGTGTAATGTAGTTTAGTGTAGTGTAGTTTAGTGTAGTGTAGTTTAGTGTAGTGTAGTATAGTGTAGTGTACACTATACTACACAGCAGATCGGCGTTCAATCACCGACCGTCCAAATGGTTGGGCACCATTCCTTCTCCTCGTCCCATCCCATATCCTAATCCTGACCCCCTCCCAGTACTATATAGTCGTAATAGCTTGGCACTTTCCCTTGATAGTTCCCTTCCCCTTCTACGTGGATTGTTTCGCTGTTAACCTATCCATTTATCCGCCAGCCTTCAGAGGGAACCTTCACCAATCTCATCCCTCACCTTAGATACGCCTTTACCAGTTGCCGTCTCGCTTCATGATAACCCAAGCCACTTGTTATAAGAGAGAGAAGAAGAGGTCGCCAAGCCCGAGGCCTGGGGCCAGATTCACGAAAGCACTTACGCAAGCGCTTACGAACCTGTACATCTTTTCTCAATCTTTGGCGGCTTTGTTTACAATTATTAAACAATTAATGAGCTCCGAAGCACCAGGAGGCTGTTTATAACAATAACAACAGCTGAATGGGAAGTTTTCCTGCTTGTAAACTGTTTAATAAATGTAACCAAAGCCGTCAAAGATTGAATAAAGATGTACACGTTCTTAAGTGCTTGCGTAAGTGCTTTCATGAATCTGGCCCCAGTGTTCTAAATTTACATCCAGCTCGTCTCAAAGTTAAAACACAACATACTCGGATTAAACGTCGTTTCAGTTAAGGGTAGTTATGTTCAAGTGGCTATGTTTAACGAGAGACTAATTATAATAGTTGAGCATCATTCCATACCACCGTCCTTGAGCTGGCTTTGCGGTTTCTCCTAGCAATTACCTTATCTTTTTCGTTAATCACTACTAAATTATCCATAGTTCGCTATGTAAGAATATCACTCTCCTAAAGCAAGTAAAGCTTCTCCTATCTAATTAAGTACAATGGTAAGTAAATCACACCTGATCATTGCACTGATTCACCTAATGTAACCGAACTGAACTGATGAATAAGTAATTTTGTCAGGGACAGGAAGCACGTGTGTGTGTGTATATATATGTAATTTAGGCCTATATCGATGTCCCCCTCAAAGTCGAACTATTGACCCTCCTCAGGATGGAACCCCACAACAGCTGTCTAACTCCACGGTCCCTGTATACTGCTAGGTGAACAGAGGCATTAGGCGAAAGGAAACATTCCACCCCCTTTTTATCCCACCCGGAAATTGAACCCAGGATCTCTAATTGTGAGCACAGAACGAAGTTTTAAATGATTTACACGCATGAAAATATACAATGTTATCATTGCTTAAATAATTTAACCAAAAGGGTGACTGTAAATGAGCTGTAATATGATTCTTACCTTACCTAGGAATTATTAATCATACCATTGATCATCTTGGGAAAAACCTAACTGGGTTTATGATCGCTTAATTGGTCCGCTTTAGAGGTTAATTGACTCTGTGAGTAGAGTGTACACAGGTTAATTGACTCGGTGAGCAGAGTGTAAACATGTTAATTGACTCTGTGAGTAGAGTGTACAAAGGTTAATTGACTCTGTGAGTAGAAGGCTTATCCTTATATCCTCTTTAAGTGCTATTTAGTCATAATGGTTATCTTCTTGAGATGATTTCAGGGCTTTAGTGTCCCCGCGGCCCGGTCCTCGACCAGGCCTCCACCCCCAGGAAGCAGCCCGTGACAGCTGACTAACACCCAGGTACCTATTTACTGCTAGGTAACAGGGGCATTCAGGGTGAAAGAAACTTTGCCCATTTGTTTCTGCCTCGTGCGGGAATCGAACCCGCGCCACAGAATTACGAGTCCTGCGCGCTATCCACCAGGCTACGAGGCCCCCCACTGTTAACCATAATGGCTAAGTCATAATGGCTTAGTGCTCTTTCCATTATAAATTTCTTTCTTTCTTGGTGAGTAGAAGTTACAAAGGTTAATTGACTCGGTGAGTAGAAGGTATGAGCTCCGTAGCTCCTATACCGACGACGTGTCAACATACAACGGCCACTTCATCATAACTTCATCATAATCTGGCACGAGACTCTGGGGGAGATTACCCCACAATTATAATGCAAGTAAAATTATGTCGCATTAGTACAGCATTTAACTATGTTGCATCAGGAAGTTCATGGGGAGAATCATGCCTTTCATGTCTGTAAATTGCACACCAGAATAAATGTTTTAGGATTCATCTGAATTTCTATCCTACTCCCACCTATGTCTTCTCGTCCACCTCTGTCTGTCCATGCCAACCAATCCGCTTTTTAGTCAGCAATTTCGTTGTCGCTTAGAATCTTGTATGTCAGAATCATGTCATCTCTTAACTCTTTTTCCAGTGCAAAGAGATCTGGTTCATTATGGGTGTTCTCCAATACCAGTTTTGAGGAGAACGGGAATATTCGCATGTTTGGTTTGGCCCGGTGATGTTATGGTGTTATTGTATACCCCACTGATGTTATGCTGTTAATGTGTGCCTCGGCTGATAGGCTTTGGGTAATGGCTTCTTCCAGATAATTTCCCTTCTATTGGCTCAAATCATTTCCTCCTCATTTTCTTTTACTCTTCCTGTGGGCTATTTGGTCCTGTCCCTTATCTCATCACGTTGCATTACCTGGGATGAAGTCGAGCCACTCGACCATCTGTTTCGCAATATATATATTTCTCTCTCTCTCTCTCTCTCTCTCTCTCTCTCTCTCTCTCTCTCTCTCTCTCTCTCTCTCTCTCTCTCTCTCTCTCTCTCTCTCTCTCGCTCTCTCTTCCACCCCTTCTATGTTTCCCATCACCAGGAACTAACAACACCACCACCCACCGCCTCCCCCATCACCAGGAACTAACACCACCACCACCCACCGAACTAACACCACCACCACCCACCGCCTCCCCCATCACCAGGAACTAACACCACCACCGCCCACCGCCTCCCCCATCACCAGGAACTAACAACACCACCACCCACCGCCTCCCCCATCACCAGGAACTAACACCACCACCCACCACCTCCCCCATCACCAGGAACTAACACCACCACCACCCACCGCCTCCCCCATCACCAGGAACTAACAACACCACCACCCACCGCCTCCCCCATCACCAGGAACTAACACCACCACCACCCACCGCCTCCCCCATCACCAGGAACTAACAACACCACCACCCACCGCCTCCCCCATCACCAGGAACTAACACCACCACCCACTACCTCCCCCATCACCAGGAACTAACAACACCACCACCCACTGCCTCCCCCATCACCAGGAACTACCACCACCACCACCCACCACCTCCCCCATCACCAGGAACTAAACGAGCCCCCATCTCCTCCCACAGGTCAACACGGTCTTCCCTCTGGTGGGGGGACACCGCCTCAACTTCACCGTAGCGGAGACATACGGGCAGGAGGAGATCAGTATCCTGCAGACAGCACAGCTCTGGATCTCCAACATCTCCGCCTACATCGGTCCCCAGGAGACCTGTGTCCACGAGGCCAGGATGGCTGCCGCCTTCAACCTGCCCATGATTTCTTACGTAAGGGTTTTCTTAAGTGCTGTTTTTAGTGTAATTTTCTGGAGGCGAGGCTAGTGCTTACTCTCTACATTGTTGTTCATGGCTCCTAAATTTGCCTGAATGTTTTTGTTTGCGATTCCAGTGCTTTTCGCGTTTTCTTTCATGTTTTTTGTGAGATGTTGCTGCTTTATGATAGCTAAAGTTTCATTTTTAAAGGCAAACGAAAGAGAGTAAGAGAGAGAGAGAGAGAGAGAGAGAGAGAGAGAGAGAGAGAGAGAGAGAGAGAGAGAGAGAGAGAGAGAGAGAGAGAGAGAGAGAGAGAGAGAGAGAGAGAGAGAGAGAGAGAGAGAGAGAGAGAGAGAGAGGAGAGAGAGAGAGAGAGAGAGAGAGAGAGAGAGAGAGAGAGAGAGAGAGAGAGAGAGAGAGAGAGAGAGAGAGAGAGAGAGAGAGAGAGACGGAGAGAGAGAGAGAGAGAGAGAGAGAGAGAGAGAGAGAGAGAGAGAGAGAGAGAGAGAGAGAGAGAGAGAGAGACAGACAGACAGAGAGAGAGGAAGACACTAACATGAGGGGAGTGTATATTAGGGGTTGTAGACAATGGTGGTAGACTGAAAACAACCACCAGACAACAAATTGTTACTTCATTTTCCGGCTTCAGTAAACTGGTCAACAAAAGTTCACCAATTTGCTACAATTTCTTCGCTTGTCACTATTTACGGCGTCGACCAATTTGCTGGTGGCGCCATTCTCATGTTGCTTTTCGCTGGCAAACGTCAGAGTTTTCAGCACTTTTTTTAAACTCGCTTTTATCGGCTTTGGAAAATCAATTATTCCGTAGGTTGTTTTTTAATTAGCAGTGGTTGGTAGGTTTAGTGGGTAAAAATCCCTTGAACTTTAATAATCAGCTTCAAGTAATTTATTTGGGATTCCCTTTGTTGTTTATTTGTGTGTGTGTGTGTGTCTGTGTACCCACCTATTTGTACTCACCTCTTTGTGTCTGCAGGATCGAGCATTGACTCTTGGATCCCGCCTTTCGAGCATCGGATGTTTACATCCCTCGTAACTCTGGGACGAGTCTCGTTGCAAACCTCTGAACCTTTTCCAGTTTCCTTATATGCTTCTTCAGATGGGGACTCCATGATGAGGCGGCATACTCTAAGACTGGCCTCACGGAGGCAGTGTAAAGTGCCCTAAATGCCTCCTTACTTAGGTTTTTAAATGATGTTCTAACTTTTGCCAGTGTATAGTACGTTGCTGTCGTTATCCTATTTATATGTGCTTCAGGAGATAGATTAGGTGTTACGTTCACGCCCAGGTCTCTCTCACGTCGTCACAGGTAGGCAGTTCCCCTTCATTGTGTACTCTCCATACGGTCTCCTATCACCTAGTCCTATTTCCATAACTTTACATTTGCTCGTGTTGAACTCCAGTAGCCATTTCTGTTCATTTCTGCAACCTGTTCAGGTTCTCTTGGAGGATCCTGCAGTCCTCATCTGTCACAACTCTTCTCATCAACTTTGCGTCATCTGCGAACATCGACATGTAGGACTCTACGCCTGTAAACATGTCGTTAACATATATTAGAAACAGAATTGGTCCCAACACCGATCCTTGTGGTACTCCACTCGTTACTGTTCGCCAGTCCGACTTCTCGCCCCTTATCGTGCGTGTGAGTGTGTGTACTCACCTAATTGTACTCACCTAATAGTGCTTGCGGGGGTTGAGCTTTGGCTCTTTGGTCCCGCCTCTCAACCGTCAATCAACTGGTGTACAGATTCCTGAGCCTGCTGGCCTCTATCATATCTACATTTGAAACTGTGTATGGAGTCAGCCTCCACCTCATCACTTCCTAGTGCATTCCATTTACTAACTACTCTGACACTGAAAAAGTTCTTTCTAACGTCTCTGTGGCTCATTTGGGTACTCAGCTTCCACCTGTGTCCCCTTGTTCGCATCCCTCCAGTGTTGAATAGTTCATCCTTGTTTACTCGGTCGATTCCCCTGAGGATTTTGTAGGTTGTGATCATGTCCCCCTTAATCTTCTGTCTTCCAGTGTCGTAAGGTGCATTTCCCGCAGCCTTTCCTCATAACTCATGCCTCTTAGTTCTGGGAATAGTCTAGTAGCATACCTTTGTACTTTTTCCAGCTTCGTCTTGTGCTTGACAAGGTACGGGCTCCATGCTGGGGCCGCATACTCCAGGATTGGTCTTACATATGTGGTGTACAAGATTCTGAATGATTCCTTACACAGGTTCCTGAACGCTGTTCTGATGTTAGCCAGCCTCGCATATGCCGCAGACGTTATTCTCTTTATGAGAATAACGAATGTGTGTGTGTGTGTGTGTGTGTGTGTGTGTGTGTGTGTGTGTGTGTGTGTGTGTGTGTGTGTGTGTGTGTGTGTGTGTGTGTGTGTGTGTGTGTATGCGGAAGGGGGAAATTAGGAGGGTGTATATGGTTAAAGACTGGGAGAGACCCCATCTAATATATGACTGTATTAGAATGTATGTCTGTCCAGTATTCATGGCCAGACACTTAGAAATAGACTCTTCAAATTTTGCACCCCTGTTACTGAAGGGTACATGCCCAACATGGTCGTGTCGTGGCTGGCACAACGGACTGAGCATTATTTTCTAAGTTTTTTGTCTTGTATAATTTAGAACATTAAGCACTCTTGTAAAAAAAAAAAAAAACTCAGTAATTAGCAAAACACCCAAGCGGTCTTGCCGGCACACCTGCTGGGTGGCCATTGAATTCCACCCACTTAGAGAACCCACCTGGCCCCGTCCACCACTTTGGGTGCACACCTATCACTACCCACCACTTTGGGAACAATCCTGCCACCACCCACCACTTTGGGAACAATCCTGCCACCACCAACCACTTTGGGAACACACACCTGCCTCCAACCACCACTTTGGGAACACACACCTGCCACCACCCACCACCTGGATAACCTTAATTCTCCTTCCACACGCCGCGCATAATTCACACTTAGTCTTGATGATGGAGGAATGTACCTAAGGAAGAATATTCAGCACATGGGAGAGAGAGAGAAAGAGAGAGAGAGAGAGAGAGAGAGAGAGAGAGAAGAGAGAGAGAGAGAGAGAGAGAGAGAGAGAGAGAGAGAGAGTAGCGGCATACAGATATCCACGTCTTTTACACACCAGTAGGTAAGGTTAAGTGGGTTGCTTGGGTACATACGTTTCTAGTTAGGTTAGCACTGTATTTTGTACGTTGTGGCGAGTCGAGGAACATGCTAAACCACAGCCATTATTGGTCGTGAAGACCCAAGCTGCAGCGATACAATATGGAGAGAACAGGAACCGCCAGATTACACACGGAGAGGCAATAAGAAATTTCCTAATTATAAAGAAATACAAACTAATATCGTTCAGAAACTGATAAAAGAAAATTTCACCGCTGCTTACAATGCTTGCTAAAACACTTAAGATATTCATAGAAATCTGTGTATATATATATATATATATATATATATATATATATATATATATATATATATATATATATATATATATATATATTCTCAGACAGATAAAGAGGACTCTCAATCATATCCAAATATAATCTGTCCCGCTGGGGGCTTAGGACCCATTATACAAGGATTTCAAAGGTTGAATGAAAAGCGTTTGCTTGTGCTCTGTGTTCCTGGCAACCATCACCAGCGCACACCTCACACCGCACGTCCACCCACCACAACCACCACAACCACCACAACCACCACACACATGTCTGCTGACACAACCCCTCCAAGACTCCAGCCATGCCTGCTGACACAACCCTCCAAGACTCCAGCCATGTCTGCTGACACAACCCCCCAAGACTCCAGCCATGCCTGCTGACACAACCCTCCAAGACTCCAGCCATGCCTGCTGACACAACCCTCCAAGACTCCAGCCATGTCTGCTGATACAACCCCTCCAAGACTCCAGCCATGCCTGCTGACACAACCCTCCAAGACTCCAGCCATGCCTGCTGACACAATGTCTGCCCTCCAAGACTCCAGCCATGCCTGCTGACACAACCCTCCAAGACTCCAGCCATGTCTGCTGACACAACCCCCCAAGACTCCAGCCATGTCTGCTGACACAACCCTCCAAGACTCCAGCCATGCCTGCTGACACAACCCTCCAAGACTCCAGCCATGCCTGCTGACACAACCCCCCAAGACTCCAGCCATGCCTGCTGACACAACCCTCCAAGACTCCAGCCATGCCTGCTGACACAACCCCCCAAGACTCCAGCCATGCCTGCTGACACAACCCCCCAAGACTCCAGCCATGCCTGCTGACACAACCCTCCAAGACTCCAGCCATGCCTGCTGACACAACCCTCCAAGACTCCAGCCATGCCTGCTGACACAACCCTCCAAGACTCCAGCCATGCCTGCTGACACAACCCTCCAAGACTCCAGCCATGCCTGCTGACACAACCCTCCAAGACTCCAGCCATGCCCGCTGACACAACCCCGAGTCTCAAGGACTGATTCTCACGTTAAAGTTTATAAAAGGTGGTGCCTGGGGAGGGCCGTGCCTGGGGAGGGCCGTGCCTGGGGAGGGCCGTGCCTGGGGAGGGCCGTGCCTGGGGAGGGCCGTGCCTGGGGAGGGCCGTGCCTGGGGAGGGCCGTGCCTGGGGAGGGCCGTGCCTGAGAATTTGAGAGAGTGGTCAATACGTGTGAGATAATACAATCGGAGCCCCAGTTCAAACAGCAGAGTCTGCCACGTTGGTGTTCCCTTTCAACTTGACCCACTTCGCTCTTCCACTACCTCCACAGCTGTTTCATGTAGGGTTGTTGATGTAACGGAAGGAAATGTGGTTGTTTACACTGATACTGTGCACTGGTCCCGCGCTCTGGCGCCACGCCCACACAGCCACGCCCAGATCGCACACCCGTAGAAACACGTCCATATGCCAAACCCGCAGAACCACGCCCACATGCCACACCTGCAGAACCACGCCCACATACAACACCCATACAGGTATGGTAGAGCTGAAAAAGCCAGAAA